GAAAAGGTTTGCTCTCTTAGAAATAGGCCTATGATTTCCTCGTGGATAGCATAACTTCATTTTGTTTGGTCAAGACAAAGCTCAAATACAAATCTGTGGCTCACTCTGAACCAGCATGCCTCATTTCACTTTAGTCTGGGCTTTCATTTTGTATTGCATCTGTGTTTCCCCTAATTTCAATTTTTATCTGCTTATCTCATTTTTTTCTACATCTCATTATGAACGCCATGAAGCAACTGTGAAAAGGAATACCTGCGTAAAATATCCTAAGAACAGAGAAAATGAGGCTTCCAAGCTTCCAGGATCAGTTGTGATATCAATGTTTGCATTGCTATTTCACAAAATGAGGAATTTAGCAAAAAGTGAGTGAGACTTTTGCTTCATGTTATAAAACTAAACACCGGCCAGGTTCAGTGAAGTTGCCTCTAACCTTTTAAAGATACAGAAATATAACTTTAAAGCTTTTATTTTTTGTTAGGTCTGTCACCACGCCAAAATGAAAGGAGAGATTAGATAATCACTCCATGGAACAGTGACTCATCTTCTGAAACATCATCCACAATATCTCTTCAGAAGCATTCTAATCAGAAAATCCACTTGTTGTTTTTTTTGGCCCAATGTCTAACATTCTTTTGAGCCCATAGATAGGTTAAAAACGTTGATACAGTACAGAAGAGAGAAGTCATGATTTGATTGATGTGTTTCAGCTAATTGAACAAAAGGCTATCTAATGCTGTGGGGTTTGTTAACCCATTTATGCTAGAGGTTGCACATTTTTTGTGTGTGAAAAATCAGACCTTGGCGATGACCTTGAGATGTAGGATATAAATAACTCCTACAAGCTTCGAGTTCCAATAATGGAACACTAGGCATAAATGGGTTAAGAAGGGTGGATAAAAACAGTTAAGTAGAGTACAGGGTTAATAAATGCCATAAGGGTACCGCTGGAACACAAACCAAAGCAAATATGCAACAGAAGAAAACTTTGGGCAAATCATTTTAATGCTTAAAGCCCCAGTTTTAACATCTTAAAAAAAAATACTGTGTTCCTCATGCCACTTAGCTGTATTCTTCTAAGAAACAAGAATGGCAGCTGCCCCAGTAGACAAGGCCTGGGTGCAGGATCAAACCCACTTTGCCATTTAATCCGATGTGACCTTGGGCAAGTTATTTGACCTTTCTATATTTCAGTTTCAGGATCTGTAAAGTGGGCTAGTGATAGCTGTTTCTCAGGATTGCTGGTAGGATTAAGTGAAATAAAACATGTAAAGCACTCTGACAGTGAATGGCATGTATACTACATGCTCTATATACGGGATGGCTTATTAATATCTGAAATATTACTATTCCAATCTAGAAAATGATACTGCCCATTGTTATGAAGCTCAGATAAGATAATGAACATGGATGCCTATAAAAGCAACAAAAGATGTACAATCCAGGTGAGGACTAATTGTGATTGTGAGGAGACAGTACTTGATACAACCATAAATTCTGCTAAGCTACTTCAGACAGTGTGAGTCACCTCTAATGTAACAAAAGATTTTTAAAAGCAATAAAACCTGTTGGGGCTTCAGCCAATGACAATTCCCAAGTTCATATAAAACGTGCCAAGCATTGGCAGTCCTGAACAAAGCTGCCTTCCAATGAGTTTTGGGTGAGATAAGAATGTTCAGTTCCAAGACTTAAAGTTCTGTCCCTTATGCAATGAACATTTCTTAATCCCTACCCCTTTGAAGAAGGAGCCACTAATTTAGGGATATCCTTTACAGAAAAAAAGGCTGCCTCAGCAGGAAGCTAATGGCCCTGGCTGGGCCAAGTACCAGTACCTAACCCTTATCCACCCCAGGCTCCCCTCCCAACCCCACCTCCCACCACCAGGACTGTCCCTTCCTTTCATCTACCTTCAACTCCGGAGCCAAACCAAATAGCACTCATTATTGTCTCTGTAGCCCATCAGAGAGCACTCCTAATCCCAACATGCATACACATACACACACTCTCTCTTATGCATACACATGCAGATGCACAAACACACACAAGCACATTTGCACTTTCCTCCCTCCCTCCCCCTCCCTCTCTTCCCTCTGTCCCCTTGGAATGGCCTCCATTCTCTCCCCAGGCACTGGCAGGAATGAACACACTACCTTACATTTCTCACACCGCCCTTACAGATGCAGCTGACCACACAGAATAACTACAAAAGTCTCAGCATGGGGTTTTAGGGGGTTGGGGGCAGGGTGGTGGTGGCTGGTGAACCAGGCCATGCGCCCATTTTCAAAAGTCAAGTAACAGGTGGCCAAACCTCAGGACAAACTGCAGATTCAGAGGTTATTTCTTCCTTTCACAGGCAAAGATTTTATTTGCCTCACTCTTTGACAAAAGCTTGTCATTCTGCCTCCAACAGGCACTCTGACACATTGAAGTAAGGAATCCAAAGCATAAAATAACCACCAATAATGACAACCAGAGAGTCCCCTAACCACAGCCTTCTATAAAGTCTAGAGGGCTTCCCAGCTCTCAGGAAAAGTTTTCCACCTGCAGTGGGGGAGATAATTGACCTTGAGCGGAGTAAACACATTGTAAGATATTCACGGGTAATGTACTTCCCATCATCTGTCCCACTCAACCGTCATTAAGGTTTTGGGATTTAGAACACACAAACACGCACACATACCCCTGTATATACACACACATATATACATTTGTATACATACAGTCACACATAAACATACCTTTAAACACACACATATACACATACACACACAAACATATATGCACATCTATATATACACACATAAACACCTATATACATACACTCACACATATACACACCTATAAACACACACACATATACACACCTATGTACACACATAAATATATATATACCTATATACATACAAACATATATACACAGCTATATCCCCACACCTATACACAGACACTCACACATAATACTCACCTATAAACACACACATGTATATATACACCTATACATACATATATACACACACCTATATACACACATATACATATACACACACCTACATCCATTCATAGATATATACACACCTATATACATACGCACATATATACACACCTATACACACATACACACCTACATTCACAACTATGTACAAACATGTACACATATGTACACTTATACACACACACACACGCATCTTAGAAAATAAATGACAGAAGAAAAGAAACTCAAGCTCCGTGGGTTTTCCATAGGTTTTTAGGTCTTGAGAACAGAAAGACCACTCCCATTCTCTCCCTTCTGCCCCCAACCTGCCTGCTCTGTGGACACAGAAGCGGCCTCAGAAACCTGGAGGGACAACTGGACTAATGTTCTCTTTACGATTTGCAAGATGCCTATGCTTTTGCAGACTCTCAAATTATACTTTTAGACAGAAGCTAGATTTCAAAGGAGGGCTACAGGGAGACAAGGTTAGGGAGTCCCAGGTGGAGCCAGGGGCTGTTGCTCCCTACTGCCTTCATCTCCACGTGGTGAAGGATTTGTGTGTGTACCCTGCGCTTGCCACCCCTCACTACCCAGGACATTGCTGTTTTATTTCTGTCCCCTACCCCTGAGAACATTCTAGTTTAAGATCCCTGATAAAGTCCACTCTACTTGTTCTACAAATGAGAAAACATTAAGCCCACTGTAGGAATGTCACTGGCTGAAATCCTCTCTTTTAAACTCATCCAGGTGCTTCTGAACCTCTATTTCTAGTGCAGAGTCGGGGAAACAGTCTTGTCTGGAAGCCCCTCCACCCACTAATAATCTTTGACCTTAGTAATGATTGATCTTCAAGACTTCTTCGCCTTCATTCACTAGACACTATGCATTTTCAGGCTCAAGTAGCGACCTGCAGAGTCTTCCACATGCCAGGCCTAGAGCTCTGTGCACACTCTAAGTATTCCCACGATTACTATGGGGATGCACATCATTCACACAATTTTGCAGATGAGGAAGGTAAGGCTCAGAGCAAGGGCACACAGTTGGGGCTGGACTGTACTTGAGCTCAGGCCTCTCTGACACCAAACCTACATATTTGGAGCATGCCTTGCTGCCTTGCAAATGTCTATCATCTCCTTCGATTAGGCGCAAAATCAGAACTCATTTGTCCCTGAACAAAATTAAATGCTAGGTTACCAGCAAAATAGCAGAAAAGGGCTCTGCCTGCCTTCCTGGGATTGTCATATGGTTTCTGTGTATTTGCAGCTGCTCCTACTCCACTAGAAAGTTCCCTCAAGGAAGGTGCTTTGCCTTATGTGTTTTGACCTCTCCTATGTGTATAGTTGCTTAATACTGCTTGGAGGTATTGCTCGACAGCTTCTGAATTTAGTTTCTGATCAAATTTTACTAAAATAGGCCTCTTGGGAGGATGCATTTCATACCCATCTACGGGTCCTTAGAAAGGTCCTTTCTTGGCCTGGTGCGGTGGCTTACGCCTGTAATCCCAACACTTTGGGAGGCCGAGGCAGGTGGATCATAAGGTCAAAATCGAGACCAACCTGGCCAATGTGATGAAACCCCATCTCTACTAAAAATACAAAAATTAGCTGGCTGTGGTGATGCTCGCCTGTAGTCCCAGCTACTCGGGAGGCTAAGGTCGGAGAACTGCTTGAACCCAGGAGATGGAGGTTAATGCGAGCTGAGATCCCGCCACTGCACTCCAGCCTCGGTGACAGAGTGAGTCTCCATTACAAAAAAGAAAAAAAAAAAGGTCCTTTCTCCTCTGTTCATCACTTCTCCCCTCTCCTACTTTGATCAGCCCTGGGGAAAGCATAATTCAAAGTTTAGAAAGTCACAGGTTTGTTTTTTGCAAATAAAACAAGTTGTGTTCATAGTTCTCTAATTTCTCCAAAGTAGATTAGGCAACAAATCCGACTCTAAGTGGTTTTAAAGAAAGAACATATGTGCAAAGTACTATCAAAGGAAGTAGTTGTTTTAGAAGTGACGTCAGTTACTGAGTAGTAATAATACTTACAACCCATATGATGATCAACCTCCTGGATAAGTAAGGGTCAATATTCCAGTGAGTAAATGGAAGAAATGTGATGTAGAACACTTCTTGACCCAAAGCAGCTGAAAATCGGAATAGGTAATAGTAGAAGTAATTCTTCACGATGTAATTCTGTACAAAAGCCTAAAAGACAAAAGTTAGAAGACTCTGTGAGTTCATGCAATATGTTAGTATGGGGCAAGTTTTAAACATCTCTGTCTAAAACTCACAGGTTTCAATTGCCAAAATGCTGCCTCCTCTCCCATTATGTTATTAAGGTATTATTACTGTCATTGAACACATTTCAACCTCAATTTATCCAAACACAGAGCATGTGAGTTTTTTTGTAAAATTAAATAACTAATATCCAAGACAGAAGTACTAGGAGAAGACACCAAAAAATAAAAGCCCAAAACTTTTTTCTTGTATATGCAGAAAGCTAGAAACCAGAAGAAAGTCAACTCCGTTAGGACATTATATGGGTCTCTGCAGTAGGCAGAGTAATGCTTCCCTCAAAGATTTCTATGTCTTAAATCCTAGAACTGAGTATATTATCTTACAGGGCAAAAGAGACTTCAAAGATGAGATCAATAATCTTTCTATTTTAAAATTTGTATTGATACATAGTAATTGTACACATTTATGAGGCACATGTAATATTTTCATACACACATACAATATGTAATGATCATTCAGGTTACTTTGGATGTCTGTCACCTCAAACATTTATCATTTATCATTTCCTTGTGCTGGGAACATTTTAGATACTTTGTAGCTATTTTGAAATAGACAATAACTTATTCTTAACTGTAGTCACCCTCTTGTGCTATTGAACACTGTAACTTATTTCTTCTAATTGTATATCTGTAGTCATTAAACAACCTCTCTTCATCCCCTTGCCTTCCCAGTCTCAAATTAATAATCTTGAGATGGGGAGATTATTCTGGATTTTCTGAGTGGGCTAAGAAAATCCTAATCACAAGGGTTTTTTTTAGAAATGGAAGGAGGAGGCAGAATGGTCAGAGTCAGAGAATGATTTGAAGATGCTAAGCTGCTGGCTTTGACAATGGAGAGAGTGACCATGAGTCAAGGAATTTGCATAGCAGCCTCTAGGAGCTGGGAAAAGCAAGGAATCACATTTTTGCCTCCAGTCTCCAGAAGAAATACCACCCAGCTGACACCTTCATTTTAGCCAAATATCCATTTTGGACTTCTGACCTGTCAGAGAATAAATCTGAAACTGCTTCAGGTTATAAGAGTGAAGAAGTCTAGCCTGGCTGACTCTATCTTGCGTCTAGCCTCACAGGCAGGCTATACTCACTCACTCTGGGGCATAGGCAAGACTACCTATGGGAGGAATTTTGTTTAGTTGTTTAGTTTAACTTTGTTTTGTTGTTGTTGCTGTTGTTTGTTTTTGAGATGGAGTCTTGCTCTGTCACCCAGCCTGGAGTATAATGGACTGATCTTGGCTCACTGCAACCTCTGCCTCCCAGGTTCAAGCTATTCTCCTGCCTCTCAGCCTCCCGAGTAGCTGGGACTACAGATGTGCTCCACAATGCCTGGTCATTTTTATATTTTTAGTAGAGACAGGATTTTTCCATGTTGGCCAGCCTTATCTCAAACTCCTGAGCTCAGGTGATCTGCCTGCCGTGGCCTTTAGTTTAGCTTAACTCTGAAGCAAGGATGATAATAAACTCACAGGGACCAGTTTTAGTCCCTCCCTAAAACTGGTCTGCTCCCTGTTGGGGGATGAAAACCTCCTTTGTAAGACTAATGAAAGGCCATAAGCTCAGAATTTTGGGAGAGGCCCAAATTCTGCCAAGATGTATATATAGTTAAAGGACAACCAGCCACTGTCCCTTAGCTTACCTTTCTACAATTCCCTTACTGCTCAGGAGTCATGTGGCCAGAAGCCACAAGATTTGTGACTTCCCCAATTGCTCCTATAAATAACATTAGTATTATAGAACATAATATTTGTCTTTTGAGATGTTTTCCAGACTTTTGCATTCTGGTGACCAACTGACTCCACCTGGACCCATGACTCATGACTCCATTGGTCTTATGGCCCCCAACCAGAGGCTGGTTGGAGGAATAAACTCTCATCTTCCACTTGGCTAGCTGGCTATGTATTAATTGAACTCTTTCTCTACTGCAATACAACTGTCTCAGTGAATTGGTTTTATCTGTGCAGCAAGCAAGAAGAACCCATTGGGAGATTACAAATTTGCATTTTAGGCCACTAAGTTTGTGGTAATTTGTTATGGTAGCAGTTGATAACTAATATAAAGATGTTAAAAAAAAATCCTTTGCCTCTGAACTTGATAAATTCACCTTTTAAATGGTACTAATAAAGCTAACTCATCACAATAATGGTGTGAGAAACACTTGGCAGAAAATACACATGAGACTGGTTAGAATGCATTCTCATTTTCTATCATCCTTTTCTTCCCAGTTATCCTGGTAGTGGGCAGAAAAGAAAGACTTAGGAAGTTAAAACAGAAAATCAGCAATCTATTAAAAAATATGGTAAACAGGCCAGGCGCGGTGGCTCAAGCCTGTAATCCCAGCACTTTGGGAGGCTGAGGCAGGTGGATCACGAGGTTGAGAAATCGAGACCAACCTGGTCAACATGGTGAAACCCCGTCTCTACTAAAAATACAAAAAATTAGCTGGGCATGGTGGTGCGTGCCTGTAATCCCAGCTACTCGGGAGGCTGAGGCAGGAGAATTGCCTGAACCCAGGAGGCGGAGGTTGCAGTGAGCCAAGATCGCGCCATTGCACTCCAGCCTGGGTAACAAGAGCGAAACTCCGTCTCAAAAAAAAAAAAAAAAATATGGTAAACATCTTTACATTATGGTATATTAACAACTTAAAAAACAAAAACATGATCACCCTGTTTCATGAAACTAAAAAATAGAATTTTAATGCTACTTAAGGTCGTCATAAACTTTATAAAGATAAAATCAAAGTAAAATGTCAACACTAAGAAGAGAAAAAGAGGCAATACTGTTACAGGAGATTTTTCTCAAGACCCTTGGAGATCTGGGTTCTTGTTTTGTTTTGTTCTACACAAAATCTGAGGTTCTTGAACCCCAGGGGATTTCAGAGAACAAGTTATGTGTGTTTATGTGTTTGTTCTGGAAGTATTCATTCTTGCCCGATGTTCAGCACTTGGGCTAGGTGCCAAGCATATGTAGAACAGCTAGGTGTGATGTTCTGCTTCAAGAAGCTCTTATGGGAGAGTGGGGAGAGTACGATTTGGGGGAATAAATTTTTAAAGGATCACTGTTGTGTTTAAGGCCTTAAAAAAGGCCAAGAGTACTTTTATACTTGAAAAATAAAAAAATGTGACCTTGGAAAGTGCAAGGACATAACTGTACTTGACACTATTGGCGGACTACCAAATATGCATTCCTCTCTCTTACCTCCCCAAGAGGTTCCCTGTTTTACTCCGGCATCTCTACCTCCCCCACATAGCCCTGTGACTCAGGGGAGAGTTGACACTGATCTCCATGAGTGGATCTAGATTCATCCGAAGGAGTCATGATAAGCACAAGAATTCAACTCCGGGCCAAGCAGTGCACAGGACTACCTGGGAGACAGTCACTGGGCAGGGATAAGTGCATGATGTGATCTAAAAAGGGGCCTCCCATCAGGAATAAACTTTACTTCCAAGTGAATTCGAATGAAAGAGAATGGCACTATATGCATCCTACACAGGAAAGACAGTAAGGCACAAAATGAATTAGATAAGGAAGCTTATAGTTTCACCTCTCTGCTAAGATATCATGGTTGCACATGCAAAACAAACACAAAGGTCTGAGACAAGTAAGTGACAAATGCCTCTCTCTAGAGCAGAAACATGAACTGCCTGAGGTAAGGACTAGTCTTTGCAGGTTCTGTTTATGAATACACAATCCAACAAGCCTGACCTTGAGGCCCACCCTATAAAGAGCTCCTTTTTAGATAAAGGTTAGTTATTTTAGCCCACCAGCTACCAGGTACACCTGATAATCTTTCCAGCTTTGAAGCTTTAAAAGGATAAATTTTGCCAAACTCTAACAAATGTCAACCCCCTCCGTGGTATCATTTCATAACACCCAAGTGTTATATGACATTATAAATACTCAGCAACAATCATTTTCCTGCTCTTAGACATTTACCTGAGACCGTGTTCAATATCTTAATCCTAGTAAACGATTGAAAAGGCCACCAAAAATGACAGCAAACTGATTGAGTGCTACATATCATTCACTGACATCTTTAGACAGGCTTAATTACAATCTCTCAGGAATGCGTTTTTTGAGGGAAAAGCTAACTATTCTATAACTCTTCTCAGGAACAGAATAACCAAAGGCGAAGTTTAAAATATCGGCAATATAGATGACGCCCCAAGGATTTCTTAGATAACTTCTCTGTATACATGATTTAAATACTTCAGCCAAATTCTCGGGGGCTTAGACATATCTAAGTAAAACAACATGTACATGTCTTTTTTTATTTTTTTAATTTTAAGTTCTAGGATATATGTGCAGAATGTGCAGGTTTGTTACATAGATATACATGTGCCATGGTGGTTTGCTGTACCTATCAACCTGTCACCTAGGTTTTAAACCCCGCAAGCACTAGGTATCTGTCCTAATGCTCTCCCTCTCCTTGTCCCCTACCCCCTGACAGGCCCCGGTGTGTGATGTTTACCTCCCTATGTCCATGTGTTCTCATTGTTCAACTCCCACTTATGAGTAAGAACATGTGGTGTTTGGTTTTCTGTTCCTGTGTTAGTTTGCTGAGAATGATGGTTTCCAGCTTCATCCATGTTTCTGCAAAGGACATGAACTCATTCTTTTTTATGGCTGCATGATATTCCATGGTGTATACGTGCCACATTTTTTTTCTCCAGTTGATCATCAATGGGCATTTGGGTTTGTTCCAAGTCTTTGCTATTATAAACAGTGCAGCACTAAAACATAAAACAATATGTACTCATCCTTTTAGAATAACGAAGAGTTTCCTTTGTAGGAAATCTCAATGTGTGTGACTTCAATACGTCTTTGGACATAATAGGAATTTCAGTTCCAGTGTGTATGTTGGTCCCACTGGGAACAATTAGAGAAAGAATAAATAGTGTTTAGAAGTGGTAG